GACTTGCCAGTCTGCAAGGTGACCAGCAGAAGGTGGCATTTGGACAGCCTGGCAGTCGCTCCCCTTCGAACCAGCTGTTCCACAGGTTCAGGTTCAGGGCTTTGCTTCCCCTCTGTCCTGTGTGTTCAGCTTGTCTGGGAGCTGCTTGGGGCAGGGACTGCCGCCTCCTCTTTCAGCATCTGGTTCTGTGCTGTGCTGGTGTACGTCGGCCCCTTGGGACTTCCATAATAGACATGATTAATAGCTGGCTTGCGCCACAGAGAGCAGCGAGACAACCTGAAATAATAAACAGACTATTCAACATTCGTGGCTTTCAGCTGAGTCCCAACTCTCATAGAAATCGTAGGGTCCAGGCATTTTTTTAATTGCTATCTGAGCTGCATTTCAACCTGAGAATTTAGGTCATCAGACTATAATTGCTTTGCTGTTGTCAATTAGATGGGGACTCTTTTTCTCTCTGTCTAAACTGTTGTAAAATTGTTATGGGTGGTTGAAACACCCTCTTTCCTACCCCCAGAAGTGTGTACACTGTGGGTTGGATGAAACTGTTCCCTCTTGACTAGCCCATGTGGAAGATAGGAAATAAATAACTGGCAGTGTTTAGTATTAGCAGCTGGAGCCAGGGGCCTGCAGGCCGGCAGACCGGGGCATCATTTCCAGTTCTACGTCATGTAACCACTCCCAGCATCTTTCCCCGCCTGTAAACCGGACTGCTGTGTTCTCAGCAGGTTTCACAGCAGTGGGAAAGCGCAGGGCTAATGCCAGCCCTGTGTTAGCTTCTCCTTTGCCAGAGTCGGTGCCTACTGTCAAGCACTGCCTGGATATGAATCTTGTTGCTGCATTTAGGCTTTAACAGCTCTTTTTCTTCTTGGCCCTTCTAGGTGCAGAGGGTAAGCTGGCAGCGTTGCAAGGATGCCTCTTCACACCTCGAGAGCCACGGCTCTTCTTGCCTGGGTAAAGTGTCCCTGCTTCTTTTGGTTCTTGCCTATTGGTCTTTTGGCCTTGTTTGCTGCAGTTTCTTCCCCCTGGGCTCTGCTGGGGAGGGGCCTGGGGGACCTTTCTGCAAAGCACTGGGCAAGGGGTATTCATTTGAAGGAGTCTCTTTGTGACTGCAATGGGAGGGTCCTGGCAGGGGTTGATCCTTCCTGCTGGGTGTTGTTACCTTCTGGCTGCTCCCTGCGAGGCTGCTAAGTTCTAAAGACATGATATGGCAGGAAGTGAGGGTGTGGGGCAGAGTTTGCTCGCAGGTCCAGTTGGAAATCCTGGGCCTCCAGGCTGGGGTGGAGACTGAGAGCTCAGTGCTTAAGGTAGAGTTGGAGGTTAAAGGGAATGTGGTCAGGGCAGAATAGGTGTAAAATGAGGCAGGGGTTCTCATGGGCACACCCAAGCAGTGTCTGAATTGACTTGAACCTCCATGGAGAAACAAATGAGGGTCTGTATTGGTGTCTTGGCTTTGAGTTGACCCACGTTTGACCACAGAGTGCAAAGCTACCAGAGCCAGGAGCTGCGCTGGCTCTTCTCCTTCCAGATAGATGGTCTCGGGCTTGGTTTTGGGGATGGAAGCAGGGTTTGAAAGAGACTGCCTGATGCCCCAGAAGCTGCATGTTCAAAGCCAAGGTGTTTCACAGAGCAGGCAGGTGCTGGTAGCCCTACGCTGGCTTTCTGCTGGGATCCAGGTTTTTGATTGTCCTGTCGCATCCCCAGATCAACAGTCTGAAAGTTGACAGTGCCCTTGATGACCTGGCACAGCTCCAGGACTGCAGCGTCTTCATCAAGATCATTAACAAACTGTGAGTAGAAAAGAGCTACCTGGTCCTCCCTCGAACTGCCTGGCAGGACTCTAACCAAGCGAGTGGGGTTGGCAACTTTTTAGAGTGGTGGGCTGCTATGCCTGCCTCCATAACACCCACCCTCCTGCTGCCTGCACCACCTGTACTATGTGCCGCTGGTTCTCATCCCCAGAAGCAGTGGGTAACAGTGAATTCAGTACTGTGGAAGGCAAGAGAGAGCAGCCAGGAAGGCTTCAAAGGGGAATAGCAGTAGGGTTAAGGAGGACATGCCGAGCTTTGCTGCATGCTGCTGATTTTCCCTAAGCTGTGGCAGCCTAGATCCAGCCCACAGGCTGTAGGTCACCAGCCCCTGATCGGGATGGTTTTAGTCTACCATCCACTGGCACGGCATCTGAATGCAAAGCCCATGTGCCACAGGAACAGGCTTAGAGCGTGCCTGGGTTATTTGGGAGGCCTACGAGCAGCCCCTTTGCTCCAGGAGAGAGAGGACTGTAGGCCTAGCCCGAGGTGGTCCAGTGCACCCTAAAGTTTCTCAAAAGCAGGGTCTGACTTTGGGAGGTTCCTCCTGGTTGCACTTCCAAATGCACCAGTGTTGTGTCCCTACTCTCCCTTCATTCTTCACTTGATTTATAAATCCAGTCTCCATTGAAACAGAACCCATCAGGCAGTGCTAAGGAATCCCACTGAGGCACAGCTCCATTCAGAGCAGCTGTGTGTAGACGATGTGGTGGGACTCTGACCGTGCTTCCAACTTCAGCACAGACCTCCTCAACACGCAAACAAAAGGGTGGGCTGCCAGCTGCGGACCCAAGAGCACTCCTGCATGGCTCATTCCTTCTCATGCATCCTGGAGGGATCCAAAGGTCCTACGTGCCATGGCCTGTGCACTTCCATGGGCTGCAGCTGTGCAATGATGCCGAGGGCAAGGACAGAGCGTGGAACTATTACATCATCTAATGACAGAGTGCCCCAAAGACCCCAGCTCACTCCCACAGTTGCTGTCTCTGACGTGTTGCATGGTCCCAGACTTGAGCTGTAGAAGTTGCCCCAGGTGAATGCAGAAATCCAGGAGGGGTGGATGGAAAAGACCCATGCACCAAGTTGGTGCCTTCTTGTCCTAGTCCTGGCAGCGACCTGGAAGCCCAGAAGCTGCTCTTCCGCCTCCACCTGAAAGGGGTGGCTTGTGGCAGCTCTGTGGCTGTTGAGTCAGCTGTCAGGAGATGGCCTGGCTCCTCTCCACCAGTGCATTTCAAGCTGCCCCTGGGAATGCCAGGCCTGCTGCTGCCTCATGTCTGTGGGACTCCAAGGCCTCTAGCGTGCTATGGGCTCTGTATGCCATTCCAGCACTGAGCAGTGCTTGGTTCTCTGGGGAATGTGGGGGGAGGAGGTGACATGGCTTTGGAGAATGAGCTCGCAGCAGTGGCTCGTCCAGGCACAGCTTTTACTGCCTGTGAGCCGGATTATAAAAAGCCTTTACAACATAATGGAAGCTGGAATTGGAATTGGGCGCGCTCAAGCACTGAGTCGCATGCAAGAGCTGAAGCAGAGAGGAGCCGTGCGTGGAATGGGAGGCTGTTATTCCTAGTTGGGCACCGCCTTGCATTGCAAATTCTTCCTTTGGGAGCCTTGGTGGACGCCTGTCTGCTATAATTATCCCTTGCTGCGTAACAAGAGCCTGCTCCAGAGCTGGGATCTGACTGTGCAGTGGGTGGGTGGGGAGGAAGGAGCTGCCTGCAAAGGATATATTTAGTCAGACCTGGTTAATCTAATTCCGATTAACAAATTAGCAGACCTGGCTATATGAAGTGACTTGCTGGGCCGGACTCCTGTCCAGAACAAGAAAAAGGTGTGAAGGAAAGCCTGGCTGGGGGGAGCTCTGAAATGAGGACAGTGGATAGAAAGCCTTTTAAAGTGTCTGCACGTGGTGACCTAAAGGTCCCAAACTCATTTGCAGTTAGTGTCCAGCTTCCTTTGTAACCGGACAAGTCCCAGCATTTGAGCATCTGGGTTTGTGTCACAATGGGAAAAGACCTCAGCCAACCTTGAAGCAAGTGAGCCAACAGTGTGCCCATGTTGCCAAAAAGGGTAATGGCATCCTGGGCTGCATTGGTAGGAGCAGTGCCAGCAGATTGAGGGCAGTGATTCTTCCCCTCTGTTCAGCACTGGGGAGGCCACATCTGTAGTCCTGTGTCCAGTTGTGGGGCCCCACTACAGAAAGGATGTGGACACATTGGAGAGAGTCCAGTGGAGAGCAATGAAAATGGTTGCGGCGCTGGTGGACATGACTTGGGAGGAGAGGCTGAGGGAACTAGGTTTATTGAGTCTGCAGAAGAGAAGACTGAGGGGGATTGAATAGCAGCCTTCACCTCCCTGCAGGGGGGTTGCAAAGAGGATGGAGCTGGGCTGTTCTCAGTGGGGGCAAACGACAGAGCAAGGAGCAATGGGCTCAAGCTGCAGCAAGGGAAGTTGAGGTTAGATATAAGGAAAAACTCTCTCACAAGGGTGGTGAAGCACTGGAACAGGTTGCCTAGAGAGGTAGTGGACTCTCCATCCTTGGAGGGTTTGAAGACTCGGCCAGACAAAGTCTTGGCTGGGATGATGTAGCTGGGGATGGTCCTGCTTTGAGCAGGGGGTTGGGTTAGATGTGACTTCCTGAGGTCCCTTCCAACCCTCATTTTCCATGAGTGTAAGTGAGAATTGTAGATAGTTATTGCCCATGTATGTGCTGCTCTTCCTGGCTCTTGGAAGAAAAAATGTGGTGGCTTGGACCTAGGGAAGTGGAAACTGCTTTCCAGGGCCCCCTCAAAGCTGCACCAAGCTGTCAAATGCATATAGAGAAGGTGATCATAGCCTGGATGCAGTGCACAGCTCCTCTGACCTTGCTGGTGGGCACTGCTGCATCTCCATGCCAGAGTCTGGCCCTGAACTGATGTGAGAAGCGTTCTGAGCCACCAGCCCTAGCAGGGCCATCTGTTAGATATTGGGCTCCTTCACAGGCTGCCCAGGTAGTAAGGGGCACCCCTGCAATTCAGTCATGTTCTGGGGAAGGGGCTGATTGGCTTGAACTGGCAAGCAGATGCCCACCAATTTGTAAACGGCTGGGGCACCCAACATGTTCTCTAAATCCAGTAGTTCTCTCTCCCCTTAAAACTTCTGTCCCTTCTTGAGCTCCTTCTGCTGGCTGCTCTGGAACCATAGTATCCTCTTCCAGCCTAGCCTTCCCTTCCCTTCCCCTCCCCGCCTCCTGGCAGCTGCACAGGCAAGGAAATAAACACAGCCATGTTAATGTGGGCTCTGGAAAAGACTGGGAGGGTGGATCTGTTTATGAGCTGGGTGGGGGAAGGGAACGTGCATATTTTATGCTGGTTGTAAGTACTCTGGGCAGCAGCCTCTTGTCAGCAATGTGCTGTGCGCGTGCTCAGTCCCCATGGCCGGATGCCGAGGCCCCGTCATCTGGACCAGATTTGTTCCCTCGCTGGTGCAGGGAATAGGGAAAGCAAGAAACCTATTGCGTAAGGCTCTGCCTTCCTGTAACAGAGCACCAAGCCTTGCATGAGCAGCTTTGGCCTCATCCCCAGGGGGTCAAATAACCTGTGTGCACTCTTTCAGCCATGACACGGAGGAGGGAGAGTCAGCTCTGCAGCAGCCCCTGCCGGAGAGGATAGCGTTTATCTGCAGCTTTCTACAGAGTAAGGAATTCCACCCTTCTCGTTGTGGCTTTCTAGGTACACTCAGTCCCATGTGAGCTGAGTCACTGATGTAACCAGTGCCCCATGGCTGTAAGCGGCGTTGCCGCGAGGCTTGGCAGCACAGGGGAAAAGTTTCTTATGGAGAGGTCTGCACATATGCTCTAGAGGATAGAGGCGGAGCAGAGGGCTTGCTCTGGGGTCTGCCCAGTGCAGGAGGCGGATATCTGGCATGCTAATGGCATCCCCTACCCCATCATCACATGCTATTAGCATAACCAGCCCAACATATCTGATGCAACAGGATATGGCTGGATCTTTAGGTGTGTTAACCTTGGGTCTTAGTCAAAATGAGCTGGAAGGTCTGATCGAGAAGCAGTGACTTCTGTGACTACTAGATATTATGCTTGGTCTCCGTAGTGGAAGTGGGTGTATAAACCTAAAGGGGATGCAATTTGGGGCCAATACTGGGACACCAGCAGGAGTAGAGGGATTTCCAAGGGTGGGGCAGGGGAGCTGGATCAGAGGCTTGGACCAGGGAAGGCCCTGCTTGGTCCCAGCAAAACAAAGGTTAAGCAGAGGGTCTGGCCTGGTTACCCTGTTTAGGGTCTAAGGCTGAGCTTTGGCATTGAGCTTGTTGCCCTGTCTTGTGTTGCCTAGGCAGTGCGGGTGGTGATTCTCCTCCCCTGGCATATTGGATGTGTTGAGCTGGTTATGCTAGCCTTGGTGTCATGAGGGGGTGGGGATGCTTTTAGCATGCGATGTGGGGGTGGGGATGCCATTAGCCCTCAGGGTTGGGAAGTGAGGAGGAGGCCTTGAATCCCATCTCCTGGAGGCAAGTGCAGCAGAGACTCTGGTGTAACCAGCCCTTTTGCTTTCCATTGTAGAGCACTGCAAGCACAAGGCCACCATGGAGAGCCTGGTGTCAGTGGAGAAGCTCTTGGAGGGAGAGGAGCTAGAGCTGGCTAAGGTACCTGTATGTCTCTGGTGTCTGTATGAAGCAGTAGCCAACAATGGATCCAAACAGAGAGGTGAAGCCTTCTGGGACAACTGTAATAGAGCTCTTACGTTATCTAAACCTGTGGAGGGCATATGCAGTAAGAGGGCGGGCATGGTGCTGGGAGCAGCAGCTTGCACAAATCCAAAGAAATTGAGAATGAGTTTTGGGTGACCGAGCCAATGCTGCAGCGAGAGGGGGATGCACGTGCGGACTCATTCTCCTCTTGTGGCCTCACGCAAAGCAGGAGGCAGTGCTGCGGGGATGGTGCAGCCACCAGAGTAAATCTGTGTCCGGCTGAATGCATGTGTTATGAAGCTCAATTCCCCCTTCTGACCCGTAGCATCTGTTTCCAGGTGACTGTGCTACTCCTGTACCACACCTCCATAAGTACCAAAAGCCCCAAGGATTGGAATGAATTTGAGTACAAAATCCAGGTAACCCCCAACTCTTCCTTGCAGGCTTGTTGTATGACACTCTATCCAGCCACTGATCCAGCCGTAGGTGTGGAGGGAGGAAGTGTGATCGTGTATACGGGTGTCAAGTGAGCAGAGACAATTTTGTGGCTGCGGCTTTGGGTTGCAGTTCCAAGCCTGTCCCTGATGGGCTGTGAGGCCTTGGGGTATGGCACATCGCCTCCCTTCTTTGTCAGCTAGACCTTCCAGCCCTGGTGGTACTTCCTTCCCCAACTTCCATAAGCCCCTCGTGGCAGCTGGCATGTTCCATGCCCCCTCTGCCTAGCGTGATGGGTAGAGAATCACGGGCTTGGCAAGGCTCTAATCTCTGGGCCACTTGTTTAGCTCCTCAGTACCTCTCTTTAACTGCTAGAGGGAGTGGCAGCTTCGGAGGGTTTCCTCCCCACCCACGCGTGCCTACAGCAGTCCGGCTGCTCATCCTGTGCCATCTCTTCCTCAGGTTGAGCTGGCCACCATTCTCAAGTTCGTGCTGGACAATGAAGAGGGCCTCAGCGAGAGCCTGGAGATCTTCCTGCAGAAGAGAGGTGGGTTCTGTGGTGGTGGTGACTCACCAAAGCTGGCTCATCATATCACTCATCATATCGCTCAAAATAGCAGGGGCTGTTGGCACTAGCCCTGCAGAAGTGGCTGGGCCCTGCACAGGGAGCAGCAGCTGGCTAGGCACGTTCCCAGCCCCCATCAAGTGGGAAAGGTTGACCCCATTAGTCATCAGGTTTATTATAGTAGTTCCTAAGGTCTAAATGGGAACGGGACAAAAATAGCCCTCAGCTACAAGGTCACTAGCGGTGAGAGCCAGTCCCCAGCACCAGGACCTTCCCTTGCTCTTTTGCCCTCCTGTGTTCATGCTGCTGCCATCTCAGTCAGCTACGATGGCCTTTTCCAGCAGATTGGTGCCACCAAGCGGTGGATTCCAGCACTCCAGGAGCAAACTTGCTGTTATGCAGAACTTGCCAAAATGGGGCTGGCCCAAGCCCTCAGCACAGCAGGCGGAGCCAGCCGAGGCTGCCAGACACTGAGGACGAGTGCGTTGCTTTAGTGAGCAGATCCTTTTTCCCCAAGGTCCTTCACTTGGGGATCATGTTTTGTGCCACGGCAGCAGGCTGCAGCTACTGCTCTGTGCACTGCCAAGAGCCAGACGTCCTGCCTTGCTGCTACGGGGCACTTCAAGAATGAGGGCGACAGCTCTGCTTTTGGTCCCTGTAGTATCCCACCCCACCTCTCATGACATTGCTCTTGCGGAGGGGCAGGGTGGACTGCATGCTTCACAGCTGTGATGGCAGCGGGTGTCTTGTGCAAGGACATCAGGGCAGGGCAGACCCCATACTCAATACCCCTGTGGAGCTGACCAGCCTATGCAAGGAGGATGGTGTCGGGGCAGGACTGACCTCACTAGTATCTGACCTGTGGTTCGTAGGACACAAGCATTCAATCCTGAACATTTAAGCTTCTAAGCCTTCCCCATTCCCTGCATCAGGGCAAGCTTGTTTGATGCCTCTTGGCTTTTCTCCCCAGCATCATCATGTAGTGTCTCCAGCAGCAGCTCTGAGGAGCATTCCCCAATGTTCTCCCGCCAGCACCCGCGCGAGGTGCGCTTCCTGGAGCTGCAGAAGATTGCCTCCTCCTCCAGCCTGAATAAGTATGTTCCCAGCCTCCCTAGGCAGCTTTGGCTTTTTCCTATGACCCCGGGCTGCGATCCGTCCAGCAGGAAAGCCCCTCCATTCAGTAAGGAAACAGAGATCGTACTGGGATGCTCTGTTGTCCTGAGTACTGATGTCCCCATAAAGCAGTTGCTTCTTAAATACCGGTCCCCCTCCCATGTCCCAAGTCAATCTGACATCTTGTGAAAGGTTTGAGAGATCGAGATTGGTGGTAAAGATCAGGGGCAGGTTGGGAAGAACTGAGCTGAGATCTCTCACACTGAGCAGTAGAGCTCACCATGTCCTGATGACTGACTGCAGGGCAGCAGGGAGTTTGAGGAGCCCCTGTCCTGGAAGGGAAAGTCTTTCTACCCACACCCCAGTGTCCGGGACTTGGCATGAGTAGGATCAAGGGGCAGGGGTCCTTCTTTCCAGGCAGTCGTCATGTGCCAGTATTCTAGATGTTGGTGCCCCGGTGGGTCTGGGATTCTATTGAGGGCGTTGGGGTGGGGGTAGCAGCCTCTGTCTCTTGGCTCTCAGTCTTGCACAGTGTGTGGCTATGGTTTCGTGACAGCTTCCTTCCTGGCATGCCTGCTTCACCCATGGGTGACATCCTGCAGACCCCCCAGTTCCAGCTGAGACGACTGAAGAAGCAGCTGGTGGCAGAGAGGGAGAACCGGGATGAGCTGGAGCTGGAACTGGCAGAGAACCGCAAACTCCTCACAGAGAAGGGTCAGTAGCTGTTGGCACGTGGTGGGCTGGAAGGAAGTGTGTGGCATTGCAGGCCATGTGCTTGTTCACTGCTCAGACTTGGTCTGTGCTAGCAGCCAATAGAGCAGGCTCATCCTGGGGGCTGCTGGTTCCCTTTTTTCCTACCAAAGTAGAGAGAGGTAGTGGCTGGAGCTGCATCCTCCACACTTGTGTGGCTTAAGGGAAACTTCTGAACCAGAGAATCTTCTGATCCTCTTCCCTGGCAGAGCCTGTGTAGCCAATTCCCCTCTTGCATTGCTAACAACAGAAAGCTGCTGCAGCCGACCCTGCTGGAGACCTGTTAGTCAGATGCCAGCTCCTAACATGAGAGCTAGGCAGCAGCTACAAAGCAGGCACTGGGCAATCCCACCAATTGTTCCTGGTGTGGCCGAGATCATGCAGCGTGGGCGTTCACCCGTTGGAGCACAGAGGCATGTTGCTCAGCTTGTGCCCTTTGGGCATTGAACGTGGACAGTAACAGTGCGTCCCATCTCCTTTCCAGAGACTCAAATAACCATGCTGCAGCAGCGGATTGACCGCCTGACCCTTCTGAATGAGAGGCAAGCTGCTGAGCAGCTGGAGCCCAAAGAGCTGGAAGAGCTGCGGGAGAAGAATGAGAGGTAACCGCTCCAGGCTGCCTTGGTCCCCTCCTGAGCTGGGCTCAGACCCGCATCCTTTCTGTAGCACACAGGACAGGAGCTCCCTCTGATATATCCCCATATGCCCTCTTTCCCCCTGCCCATTGGCTTCAGCTTGTGGATTTGAAGCAAGAAGCAGTGGCAGTGAAGATCTGTGGTCTTTGCTGTGCAGCAGGTCACACTTGGCAATCATGGTGGCAGTTCTGGGTCTTTAGAGCCTGAGTCCAGGGACCGAAGGTGCTTTGTGGGCCTTGGACCTTCTTCCCCTGTGACATGCGTCTGTTAGCTCGGAGAGGGGAGCCTGGGTCAGTGGCCACGTGCTCAAACTCTGGCATCCTGAATGAAGACCAGTGATGCCAGTGGTGTATGTAGGCTGAGGAAGTTAACAGACAAGAGTGTCTTACCTCAGTCTAGAAGGCACGATCCCTGCTGAGGCTCATGCTAATCTGAAGCATGCAACAGCTGCTGTCGTCCCCCTCTGATTAGATTCAGTTGAATTCCCTAGGGGTATGAAAAGGGACTTTCCTTCTCCCCCTCTCCACTTAACCCTCGTGGCTGGCAGGTTCAGAGATCCAGGAACTCTTTAGTCCTAAGCTGGTCTCTGAGTAAAATCCAGCATCTCTCAGTGCCTCAGGACCCTCATCATCTTCCTCTTAACATTGAAAACAACAGTGGTGCAGCTGCTTCTCCCCCTTCTTTGCCAGTGGCATTCCCCCTCACAAGGCAGGAAACCTAATCCGCTCCCCTCCCCTCTCCCGTAGCCTGATGATGCGTTTGCACGAAGCTTTAAAACAGTGTCAAGACCTGAGGACTGAAAAGGGTCAGATGGACCGAAAGATCACCCAGCTCTCAGAGGAGAACGGGGACCTCTCCTTCAAGGTACAGGGCACCCCTGCTTCTCCAAGGTGATGATCTAGCCCAGGGGTGTTCAACCTCTGGTCCACGGGCCAAATCTGGCCTGCAGTCATAGCATCCAGCCTGCAGGGCTTCCCGTGGGTTGGGGAAATTGGCAGTGGGGGAGCAGTGGCAGTTAATATTGCCACCCTCCCTGCTGCCAAATTCCCAAGCATGACTGGGTTCTTTCTTCCTCCCTCCCCTTTTCTCACAGCTAGTCTGGGCCATACGCCCTCCCCTGCTCCTGTGCCTGGATCAGGGCTAGGTAGTGCCCCCACTTTGTCATGGAGACATGTTGGAACTGGGCCAAACCCCCTTCTCCCATGTGTCTGGATCAGAGCAGGGCCCCCTGCTGTGCCCGGTCCAGGTGCTAGATCAGGACCAGTGTCCGGATCCGGCCTGCAGGTGGACTGAGCACTGCACATCCAGCCCACCAGGCAGAAAGGTTGAGCACCTCTGATCTAGCCTGCTGTAGTGACAGCCTGGGATAGCACCATGCTTTGGACCTGGGCTGCAGCCATTCTTGTAGGAGCTGTTCTCACATACAACTTGATTGTTGGTTGCCCCCCTGCTGTCATCAGAGGCATGTGGGGCTGGGTTAGGGGATGACACTGGGGAGAAGTGATCTGGTGGTGATAAGGCTCCCTGGACTAGGACCTAGGGGGAGGTTCATTCACCAACTGCCTCTTGTATCCTTGGGCAGGTTACTTTGCCCTGCCTTGGTTGAGGGAATGGGCTGTATGTGAAGCTCTGGGATATTACGATGTTGGGGGTCCCAGACACCTGGACAGCATGTTGTGTGTACCCTCTAACCAGGCAGTTTGTTGGGGGGTGGGTGGGGCTTCCCTTCCATCCAGCTGCGGGAGTTCGCCAGCCACCTGATGCAGCTGCAAGAAGCTCTGAACGAGCTCTCTGAAGAGCACAGCGCGGCGCTGACACAGGGGGGTGAGAAGCAAACCCACCTGGAGAGCGAGCTCCACAACGCCATCCAGGAGAAGGTGAGGGTGCACTGGTGCGGTACAGGGAAGCAGCCAGAGCTTGGAGCCCAAGGGTCTCTGGTACTTCCAGGAACCCTGTTGGGGTGGGGAAGGGGAATCCAGCACTCAATGTCTTTGGGTTGGTGGGACCTAGGAGCACCGCAGAAGCAGCGTGCCCGTCTCCACAGGAGGAAGCCCTGCATTAATTACGAGGGAAACGGTGCTCAATTGTGCGTGGCATTAGCCAGTTCCTGGGGCAGGGGGTGGGATCCGTTGTACCCTTATGAGGAAATAGTGTCTGCGGTGAAGGCCCCAAGTGGGGAGTGAGCAGAGTCCAGCAGTGAAATGAGCAGCCACGGAGCCCCGACAAGAATGCAGACGGTTTTGCCAGCCTGAGCGGGAGCTTTTGCTGATGTCTGAGTTCCTCCCCTGCCGACGGCCAGCTGTGCTAATGCATGTGCCTCACTCCCCAGAAATGTTTGGAAGAGAAGATAGAGATTCTGCAGGGGAAGATCTCCTTGCTGGAGGACCAGCTGGCGAAGCTGGGGGATGGCGCCATGCAGGAGAAAGGAGAGGTTATGGGAGACGTCCTCCAGGTATGGCGGGGTCTCGCGCGGGCTGGAACAGAGAGAGCAAGCACAGAGAGGTCTTCAGAGTAGGCTGGGAGGGGGAAGCTCACTTCCAACTGCTGTGGGAAAGCACAGCTCAGCCTGCCCAGCCTCTTGCTTGTGCACAGGGATCAGCACTCCCCCCGCTCATTTAAAAGGAGCAGCCTCCAGGCTTCCTGCCAGCATGGCTGGAAGAGTCTGAAGAGCATCTCAGGCCATCTGCGTGCCAAGGAGAGCTCAGTCCTTCCTGTTGTGCATGTGGATTCTACTTCTCTAAGCACCGCAGTAACTGACTGCCCTGGGTGGCTTGCCTGGCAGGACTGGGCAATGGCAGCGATGGGTGGGTGAGGTCCTGCTGATGGCGCAGGTTGTTCTGCAGTAAAAGCAGCTCGGCTCTCCTTTGGGGTGGGTATGTCTGGTATTGTGGGACTGAGGAATCTCCAGTTTATTTTGCAGTGTAGCTTCTGCCGTGGTGGCTGGGTGCCATGGTCTCCTGTCCCCACGCAGTGGTGGGTCCGACCCAGTCAGTGAGGCTTTCTGCCCCAGGACTTGGAAATGGTGGGAGAACTAAAGAAACTAGCTCTTGCTGCAACTGCAAGGCAGCAGAGCGCTTTCCAGGCTCCCTGTTGGGCAGAAGTGTCTAGGTCTCCTTTGGAACATTACTGAATGCCATCGGTGTTTCATTTCTCTCTGCTCTCTCAGCTTGAAGATCTAAAGCAGGAAGTAGGAAGCCTCACCGCTAAGGTGATAGAGCTCCAAGCCACCATCCTTCGGCTGGAGGAGGAGAAGAGCCTGCATGAGGCGAACCTCCAAACTGAACAGAATCACTTCAAAGAGGAGAAAGCTCAGCTCATGGAGCTCATTGGCAGCCTCCAGAGCTCTGTCTCCGAGATCCACCAGGGCAAAGAGAAGCTGGAGCAGGACTCCCGAGAGCAGGAGGCACGCCTGACGGCTCAGGTGAACACTCTCACTGCAGAGATCGCCAAGCTCAATGCCTTCGTCCTCCAGAAGGAGCAGGAGCTGATGAGTCTGCACCAGCGGGTGCAAGAGGAAAGGACCCAGAAGGGACAGCTAGCAGAAGACCTCCAGAAGCAAGAACAGTCTTCCAGGGAGACGATCCAGGGGCTGAGCCTCCAAGTGGACCAGCTGAGCAGCACCCTGAAGCACAATGAGGAGAAACTGCTGCACGTCACCCAGCAGATGGAAGTGACCAGCCAGGGGGAGGCCAGGCAGCTGGCTGCCTTGAGAGAAGAGCACGAAAAGGCCCTCCAGGAGAGGGAACTGGCTGTGCTACAGCTCCAGGAATTCCAGCAGGGAAAAGAGGCAGAGCTGGCAGCCCTGGCCACCCAGCTGCAAACCTTGGAGAAAGCCAGAGACACCAACCAAGCCTCTGTGCTAGAGCTGCAGAGGAAGAAAGCCCAGCTGGGCCAGAGGGTCCAAGACCTGGATGCCAGAGTCCTTGAGCTCACTGCAAAGTGCCAGCAGAGCGAGGTCCAGGCAGCAGCAGCCGAGTCGCTGAAAGCCCAGCTCCGAGAAGCGGAGACCAAGCTGAAAGAAGGTCAGCAGAAGCTTTTGGAGAAAGAAAAGCTGGCCAAGGAAAATGCCCGGCTCCAGGAGCGACTCCTGTTCCTGGAAGAGTCGGTCCGGAACACCGAGGGGATCTTGGAGGATGAGAAAAGGAGGGCTTCCGAGACCCTCGAAGGGAACCTGGCACGGATAAACGAGCTGGAGACTGAAATCCAGAAGCTGTCGGAGCACCGAGATCAGATGGCTCGGGAGGTGGGTGAGGAGAAAGCTAAGGGACAAGCGCTGGAAAGGCAGCTGCAGCAGGTGGGAGACGAGTATAGGGAGAAGGTGGAGACGCTGCAACGTCAACTGGCGAAAATATCCTCAGTGGCCAAAGGGGATGAAGGTGCGCGCGAGCAGCTGAAGGAGCAGGTGAGAGCCCTGAGCAAAGACCACCAAGAGGCCTGCCGGCAGCTGCAGAAGGAGCAGGGAAAAGTGGCCGAGCTGGAGGAAAGGATCCAAGAGCAGCAGGAGAGGCTGGCGCTGGCTCAGTCGGACCTTGCTGGCTCCCTGGCACGGTTCAAGGAGAAGGAGAGCGCGGAGCAGAAGCTGAAGGCCAATCTCTCTTCTCTGCAGGAGAAGATGGCGGCTTCTGACCAGGAAACAGCCCAGCGGGTTGCCCAGCTGCAGGCAGAAGTGAGAAAAATGGCTGGGGCCCTCGAGGGGGTCACCAAGGAGCTGTCTGAGGAAAGGCTCAGGAAGACTGAGCTGGAAGCAAAAGTGAAGCGTCTCCGAGAGCAGAAGAACAAGGACCTCACCATGGCGGAGGCCGACCTTGCCCGCGCTTCATCAGTCACAAAGGAGAAGGAACTGGAAGCAGAGAAGCTGTCCGGGGAGGTCAAGCGGCTGAATGCCAGGCTGGAAGAAACCCTGCAGGCTCACAAACACGAGCTAGCCCGGCGGGGCAAGGAAGCCGAGCACCTGGCTCAGGAGATGGAGCAAGTCAAGGCAGACCTGGCAGCGGAGAAGGCTGGCAAGGCAGAGCTGGATGTCCAGCTGCAGAACGCCCTCAATGAGCAGAGGACTGAGCGTGCCGCACACCAGGAGGAGCTGGCCAGGTCCTTGGAGCTCATCGAGGAGAAGGAAGGGGAGCTGGAGGAGCTCCGTCTGAAAAATGTCTCTCGCGGTGAGGAGCTGAGAGACCTGCAGAAGACAGTGAACAAGCTGAAAGGGGAGCTCGCCTCTGTGGAGGCCCTGAAGGAGCGGGCGGCCAAGATGGAGAGCGAGCTGCAGGGCTTCCTGGAGGTTGCCAGAACCCGAGAGGCAGAGATCGACAGCATCAAGTCCATTGTGTACTCCAAGGAGATGTCCCTCAAAAGCCTGGAGGAGAAGATCCGGCACAGGGAGCAGGAATCCAGCTCCTGCCAAGACCTCTATCAGGAGAAGCTGAAGGAGACCGAGGTGCTGAACTCGGAAGTGCAGAAACTAGAGCAGAAGTGCAGGGAGCAGCAAGACACCATCACCAGCCTGGAAAGAGCGGCCGCTGAGACCAAAGCTATGACAGCCAAACACCAGGAAGCAGAGCTGGAAGCCTTGAGGGAGATAGGGCAGCAGAAAGCAAAGATGTCTGAGCTGGAGAAACTCCTTGAAGCCTCTAAATCAACCCAGGCTGGACAGGGGGGCACCATAGAGGCCCTGAAGAAGGAGCTGCTGGAGAAGGGGAAAGAGCTGTCTCGGAGCAGAGAGGCCATCGCAGCAGCAGAGAAGGAGTTGGCGTCTCTACGTTCTTCTGCTCAAGAGAAGGGCAAGTTGGAGGAGAGCTGGAAAGAACAAGTGTCACAGTGTCTCCAGGAGGTGGAGAGGAAGAACAGCCTGATCAGCAGCTTGCAGCAGGAGAGGTCCATCTTCCATCGGCAGGCGGTGGAGAAGGAAGGGGAGAGCAAGGAGCTGAAGCGCTTGATCACGTCGGAGTCGGAGAAGAGCAGGAAGCTGGAGGAGCGGCTGCGGATCCTCCAGACGGAAATGGCCACCGCCGCCTCTCGCGCCGCCGAGAGGGGGTCCATCCTGGAGGCCCAAGA